TCGTATTTCCGGTTGGGATTATATCAAACTCGGACCAGAAATGTAAATATGGTAATAAAATATTCAAATTTGATGATACAATCTCGAAAATAACACTCTAAATAGTGTTTTTGACAGCGATTCGAACAAGACTATTACAAAGAAGATGCGTGCGAAGCAGCCGAAGTTATGTTCGGCGAAAGGTACGGCTAGTCTACATTGTTGTTCAGACAATTGCGTAATTTGATAATATACAATCTCGCTTGACTTCCAAAAGCCATAAATCGCGATAATGTTGACATCAGTTAAATCTATCGTTATGAACTAGGAGATTTCAACTCGCTGAATCGAATGGTGGTATTTTTGTCTTCATAACATGCATTGAACCGAAGATATGAACCACGCAAGGCGTACGACTTCTGTGTATTACGATAACTGGGCCGTGACCTAAAAGAGTTAAAACACTGACAATTGATTAATTTTAAGCTGCTACATTATCCATGACAAACTCCAAAGAATGAAGATATTACCCATAATTTCCTGCAACTTATCCAATATATAGTTAATTAAATACGCCTTCGCCCATTTAGTACCACTAAATTGTAAAATTCGACATACTAAAACACTGTTTTCTGACCATCAGAATTCTGTCAAATCTTCCCCAAAGTCCAGGAAATGGCATTTCAGAGACTCTAAATTTAAAAATTTCCTCGGGCCTTCGGCCATCGCTTCGGCTTGTTTTTAATAAGAATAACGTCAAATGTTTGTCCCAGAATTACTAGAATAAACCCCAACAAAATTTAGAATTTCCAAAATATCTTATTGTACCCCCCTCCCGCCAATTCAGGGCACTTTGGAGAGCCCCCCTGGTTAACATTCCAGGACTACACCACTAATAGGCCTATAAATTTCACTTAAAGGGGCCCTACAGTCATTTTTTAGTGGAAAAGCCACCTTAAGTAGGGGACTCCACGGAGATTCGTTTGACTGTATCTTACATGTAGTATCCATGAGTATGAGTACTTTCGCACACCGGAAAACGCATGCGTACTGTGGTGCGCATGTCAAGTAGAGACAATAACAAAAAAATGCAAACAATACTTACTTGACTAAAAAATGACTGTAGGGCCCCTTTAAAAAAAAAAAATTTCCAACCATCAAGTGAGAAAAAAAAATTCTTCTTTTGGTGTACAAAAAAAATATATATTGCCTCTTAGAAAATCCCATCCCCCCCCTAATGGTCCGTCCCTTACTAGCAATAATCCGTAATCCTGCCCAAAAATGCCAAATAATCCGTAATCCTGCAAATCTTACTGTGATAATAAATTCTATCAAGGTTTGAACCAAGGAATGTCAACAAGACAAGATGAAAGTCTACACGATGCATGTGCAAACGGGGATCTTCGCAAAGTACGAGAGATCTTGCAAAAAGACTCAGATATCATCAACAGGTTGAATCAACATATCGGTCGCTTGGGCGACAACACTCCATTGCACGAAGCTGCATCTGGGGGTCATGTTGATATTTTACAACTGTTGCTTAACCATGGTGCCAGTGTGAACGCGGTGAACAAGGAGGGTTATACACCATTGCACCACGCTGCACGTGAGGGTCATGATGATATCTTACAACTGTTGCTTAACCATGGTGCCAGTGTGAACGCGGTGGACAATGATGATGATACACCATTGCACGACGCTGCATATCGGGGACATGTTGATATTTTACAACTGCTGCTTAACCATGGTGCCAGTGTGAACGCGGTGGACAATGATGGTGATACACCATTGCACGACGCTGCATCTCTGGGTCATTTTGATATCTTACAACTGTTGCTTAACCATGGTGCCAGTGTGAACGCGGTGAACAAGGAGGGTTATACACCATTGCACCACGCTGCACGTGAGGGTCATGATGATATCTTACAACTGTTGCTTAACCATGGTGCCAGTGTGAACGCGGAGGACAATGATGATGATACACCATTGCACGACGCTGCATATCGGGGACATGTTGATATCTTACAACTGCTGCTTAACCATGGTGCCAGTGTGAATGCGGTGAACAATGATGGTTATACACCATTGCACAAAGCTGCACGTGAGGGTCATGATTATATCTTACAACTGTTGCTAAACCATGGTGCCAGTGTGAACGCGGTGAACAATGATGGTGATACACCATTGCACGACGCTGCATATCGGGGACATGTTGATATCTTACAACTGTTGCTTAACCATGGTGCCAGTGTGAACGCGGTGAACAATGATGGTTATACACCATTGCACAAAGCTGCACGTGAGGGTCATGATTATATCTTACAACTGTTGCTTAACCATGGTGCCAGTGTGAACGCGGTGAACGAGGAGGGTTATACACCATTGCACGGCGCTGCATCTCGAGGTCATGATGGTATCTTACAACTGTTGCTTAACCATGGTGCCAGTGTGAACGCGGTGAACGAGGAGGGTTATACACCATTGCACGGCGCTGCATCTCGAGGTCATGATGGTATCTTACAACTGTTGCTTAACCATGGTGCCAGTGTGAACGCGGTGAACGAGGAGGGTTATACACCATTGCACGACGCTGCATCTCGAGGTCATGATGGTATCTTACAACTGTTGCTTAACCATGGTGCCAGTGTGAACGCGGTGAACGAGGAGGGTTATACACCATTGCACGGCGCTGCATCTCGAGGTCATGATGGTATCTTACAACTGTTGCTTAACCATGGTGCCAGTGTGAACGCGGTGAACGAGGAGGGTTATACACCATTGCACGACGCTGCATCTCGAGGTCATGATGGTATCTTACAACTGTTGCTTAACCATGGTGCCAGTGTGAACGTGGTGAACAATGAGGGTTATACACCATTGCACGAAGCTGCATGTCAGGATCACGTGAAATGCATTAAGGTTTGTTTCTCTCGTGAGATAGTCCAATGTTCAGCAGCTCAGTTAATCCTCGCAATTTTTGGTAGAAATATAGGCAAAGAGATAATGCCGCTGAGAATTGAATAAACAGACGGTGGAACGATGTGTGTGTGTGGGGGGGGGGGGCAGATTTTTGTGGTTAGACCCTTTTCAATGGATTCATAATTAGTAATTTTCGCCTCATGAAGCGAACATGTAATGATTTTTTTAAATATCTCAAATATTTCCCGAATATCAAAAAGGGCACCTTTGCCCCCCTTGGGAATGGCAATGTCACTCCCGTGCACCCCCTCTTCAGCATCGCTGGGTTTTTTAATGACATTTGCAGAGCTGCCAATTCCAATGGCCTCCTGGTTTTGGGGGAAGCTCAAGGTATGATGTAATCACGGTATGAAAATGGTTCATGCCAGTTCAAAAAATCGTTTTCCACAATAAATCGTATCAAAAATTTTTCCACATAAATTTATTTTAGGGGGAGGGGCTTTTGAGCTGGGTCCCCCTGGCACCCTCTCGGCGGCACTGGATGGGGCGTGCCAATTAATTACACATGGCCGATTTTGGCCCCATTATGGCATCACTGCTATTATAACTTCCAGGTTTTTGATCATCTAAATTTGGCAGCCTCAGATTTGTGAACTAGTCAGCCACCTAGGTAAACATTTGGGGTTTTTTCAATTAATGATATCCTGTATAATTCTTGTTTAGGTGTTGTTGAAAAATGGTGCAAACATCAACGCGTTGGACGGATTCGGTAGAACTCCGTATCAAACTGCAATGCGACACAAATATAAAGAAACTGCCGAGTGTTTAAGAAATGCAGGTATTTATAAAACTGTAAGAGGTTGTTGGTTATGTGAACCAGGGGCGGATCTACCAGTGGGGTGGGCGGATCTACCAGTTAGACTGTAGAGCCCACTTGCAGGGGCGGATCTAGCCTCATCTGCAAGGAGGGGTGCAGGTTTTCCATGGGATAGTGTATGAGGGAGCTTTACTGCCCACTCTCCTCTGTAGTCTGCAACGCTACTATCCCAACATTACCATTATGTGAGATGGCCGAATCTGCATGTTCGCCGTTCTGTTACGTTTCGCTGTTCAAGTTTTGCCCAAAAGCGCAAGATGGAAAAGTTTATTGAATTTGCTATTATCAACAAACCGTCGAGAAGTGGAAAATAATCGTAAAAGCATCGCGAAAAAAATTCCTTTCGAAATAACCTTCGTTTTGACACGATGGCTTTGGTTAAATTTGCTCGCAGCTAGCAACAGATTATAGGTCCACTCGCAGCTCGCAACTGATCAATCGAGATCACTCGCAGCTACGCGTAGAGAATTTGATATACATGTTTTCCAACCTGGGAAGTAAACAATTAAGCATGTTGTGCATAGGGTTGGGCGATATTTCGATATTTTGATTTATCGCAGTTATCGCGATATTTTCAATCACGATTATCGTATCGAAGGTAGAAACTTGAGCGACGATATATCGAAATTATCGTCATGCTCGTTGACTATCGTGATACGATATTGCTTCGCATATGTATATAGGTTTTATAAAATCCTAAAAACTTCCTTGAATTCCTAGAAAATGTAGTTTTTAAAAAAATTAAAACTATTTCCTGAGTTAAATACGAATTTAATACGATACAAAAACTAATGTTTATGTATTAATCCTCTGAACAATAAAATTGCAGGCTTTGCTTGCGCTGTGTGCCCACGGCATTTGTGCCAGTGGAGACACAGTAGAAACTGCATGTTTATGAACAGTAAATATTAGACTAGAAAAAGCCTTCTTATTACTTTAATTTGTTGTTTTACTTGCTTTTAATAAGATTATATATAAGTTAGTTTTAGACTGCAGAAAATTGCACACGCATTTATCAAACTCATGTCACAGAAGTGGTAAAGGACATGTGTGACAACTGAATGGTATCCGTTTGTAAGTACCATTAGTACCGTAAGTTTTTGGCCAGGGGTGGGTATTTATTTTTTAATCAATTTTTTTACTTTTTAATGGTTGGGACGTTGGGTCAGCAAAATTTTTGCCGCAAAAAACATTTCTCTTCGGTGCCACATCCCACCACAAATAATGACCTGTCCCTTACCGAAGTACGCTTTTGATGACGTAATATTTTAATTGAATGACCGAGTGTCATCTAGCTTGGGATGACTCATTTTTAGGCTTAGAGTCTGTCCACGTGAAAGGTCAATGTTCATGAGACCTCAGGCAGCTGCTCTTTACTCGCTGGGGCACCTGTGCCCCAGACGAGTATAGGTTTCGGCTCTGTTCTTGGATCGGCAATCTCCAATCGTCGATAGCCACAAAATAGAATATTAATGAGCTGCTTGCTTCTTTTCAAAATGGCGGGGCCTTTCGTGGAGTGGGCAAAATGTTTCAAACAATTTCGTGAAAATTTTGAACCAATTGTACCTGTTTTCTATGCATTTTGCATTGTGTCTAACTCTGGACATTCTTGCTAGTTTATTTAATGCGTTTTTCTTGGTGCACGACTCTGAAAATTCGAAATTTGGATCGTTGAATTCCCGTGCACGACCATAATATACTGAATCTGAATATAAACGAGCCAAAGACAATTTCAAGGTAAAAGGTTATAACTTAAACTGCACAACGTAGTTTTAATAAATAACTACTTTATGAGAAGCATATTGGTGTCATATGAATATAAAATTTATCGAACAACAGTCCGTGAAAACTGCAGAGTACTCAGTGTGAAATATGATATTGTATTTGTAATGCTTATTAATGGCGCAATAAGGATAAAAATACCATTGTTCGATTCAGCGTAAGAAATTGTACTTACGGATGCCAAATCTGTTACTAAACACCAGTATTCTAGCGATTTATGGCCTTTGAAAATCAAGCGAAATTGTTTTGTTGACAAATCGCTCGCAGTACGTATTGACTATATTATTGACAAATCACTCGCCGTTTGTTCGACCATGGATTGTAAAATAATTGTTATTTTACAATCCATGGTCCGACCTTGTATTTGTATTTGTATTGCCTAATGGCGCAATAAGGATAAAAATACCACCGTTCGATTCAGCGTAAGAAATTGTACATACGAATGAGAAATTGTACTTACGGATGTCAACTGTATTACTAAACAACTGACAACAGTATTCTAGCGATTTATGGCCTTTGTATTTGAAAGCCAAGCGAAATTGTATTATTTGTTGACAAATCGCTCAAATTATAAAAAATGCAATACGTTTGATCCTTGATAACTTTGGCATCATTGGTTTTCTCTTTTTCGGCTGTATACCAGTGGATTCGTCTCACTTCTCTCTTCATTTTGATAATATTTTGAGCCCAAAAGCCCCCAAATATTTTATTTTGAACGTTTTAAACTGGCGGCCGACAGAAGAATGTAACATACTATAAAATATAACTTTACTTGTGGGCATAAACGCCGGAAGTTTTATTGGGTTGGGATAAAACGCGGAATTCCAGAAGCGGATTCCGTAAATGAGGATAATTAACGCGGAATTGAAGCAGAATAAGGACGAGAAGCATAATAGGGTAAATTAAGTTTGATCACAACATAAACTTAATGCCACAGCCATTGAAAAATTTACCTGGCAAAATTTTCCCTTGAATGTTACTTATAAAATAACCAAATAAATAAAGCAACAGAATTTACTGTTCCGCAAGTTTTAGTATGCATTTGTTAACTTATTTGTAAAATATTTAAAAATAAAAGGATTCAAAATTTTGCGTGTGTGTACGTGCATACGAAAAACGCAACAGTGGAGATCAGCCTTTAGATCTTAAATAGCCCAGCGAGTTCACGCTCCATAGAGCGTCTTGTTTTAAACAAATCTGCCCACAAGATAAACTATAGGAAACAGGTCAATCACAACATGACATCTTCACATACACAACGGCAGCTAGTCTAACAAACTGTCATAGCCCAATGGAAGAACTGATGAATGTTTTCCGAAGAACCGAAATATATTTACTTTCCTTTGATTTGTGGCAAAATATCCATTATCTCCTCTCATTATGCTTAAGATAATATTTGCTTGCACGAACATTTTACCTGCTCTCAAGTAAACATCTTCTATTTTATTTTTAATCTAAAATATTATCCGTAACAAACGAATAGAAGAACACTAGTACTGGTTTCTGAAAGGTTTTATTCAGTAACCTCTGAAACTACGAGTTCGATCGAACAAGGAGAACAATTGCATAGTTACCCAAACATACAGTTGACGCCAACATACATGCATGATATATTTATGACGTATCATTTATATACGTATCTCAAGCGGATTGAAAATAACCCCAGATACGTCAATTACACATTATAGCAGTGGTAAGCAACATTATTTCTCAATTTAATGCAATATTTTAGCATTTTTTGACAATATATATATTCTGTCATAGTATAAGCTAATATAAAAATACAAATATATTCCAACCACATGTGGGCTTGGGATGCCTGTTAATAGAAAGTATGGAATGTTGCAATGGGTATTACAAACTTTTAAGTTTGTAATACCCATTGGTAAGTTTGTAATACCCATTGCAACATTCCATACTTTCTATTAACAGGCATCCCAAGCCCACATGTGGTTGGAATATATTTGTATTTTTATAAAAGTTGTTATTTGTTTCGCTTCTGGTTGTTCCGGCTCTTGCAATAGTTGGTCAACTACACGTGCCATCATATAGGTATGTTTATTGAGAGGCAATAGTCTATAGCCAAATAGCGTTGTCCGCAGTAGCTAAAAATAGATTCTCCAAGTGAAGACCCCCCACGAGACTCAGACAAACAAACTAACATTTTGTATAGAATTGTACTAGCAGCGAACATAAATTGGTCTAAATTGACGTTTTTATTTATTTTATCTGTGCTAAAACGAATTCAAATTTATCCCAAATTACAAACATGGTTAATGCTAAGCACTGTTGCTGGGGAACATGTCCAAGTGATTCGAGATACTAAGAAAAACTGCCGAAACAGGGAATTGAAAAGTCGGACGGGACGGGAATGTCTGCAGTAGCAATGTGTTGATTGTTATTGACTGCGGACTGTGCTGGCTTTTCTCCAAGAACTTTCGCAGCTAACCATTTTCCCCCGTCAATACATCCAGCGAATGATGCTTTCCCGAACTCGCTGAAGAAGAACTTGGCGTTTTATACCGCTTTGCTATAAGCCGGCCTCTACATTTTAACCTCTGCTTGAGTTTAATCGACAGTATAAGCAGATGGATCATGCTCAAAATATGAGTCTGGGACGCCATCGTTTTCAGTGAGAGCGTCTGTTGTTAAATTTATGACTGAGAGAGAAGCAATAGTTTACCAGACAGTGTTAGGCTATTAATTAACACAGTGTTAAAGGGCGGTTCTCTATTTTACAAAACTGAATATTTAAAAATAGATAAATAAAAATGTTTTTATAATAACATATTTTTGTTGTATTGTCAAAACAAAATAGTTTTACTGGTCAACGGAAGATTTTATATTTGAGATTTTATATAGTTTGTAGTTTATCTTTGACATTTTTTAAAAAAGTTTAAATTTGAAAGTATTAGTTTTAATTACATTCCTAATAAATCCGTATTTTATAAGTTGAATATGTAGTCAATAGATTATAGTAAACAATCCTAGCTTCTTTGGCTTTGGACTTTGCTATTAATAAAAGAGATGTCTAAAGTAATAAAATAATGCACACTAAAGCGAGTATTAAAATATAAGTTAGTATAAACATGAAATCAACAACATTAAATAGGGAACTTTAGAACTGATTCGCTAGGGCTACGAATTAAATCTGGTACGACTACGAGATTTTTTCGGTTAAATATCTGCTACTACAGACTTTCTATCGCCCTTTCTTTTGCATACCCTTTCTTTATGGCCTCTTTATAGCAACAGTTACGCCAAACCATGTACTATTATAATACAGTAGACACCGCCTATGATAGAAACGACATGACAGTCGATACTAAAGTGACGAAAAAGTGTATATTTCTACTTCCAAAGCAAAAATATTTTGCACTGGCACTTCAGGTAAAGCGACAAGTACAAGGTGTGTATGATTTCGCACAAATAAACCGTAAACAAACATCAAACTATCAAACTAACTCACAGGAAGCTCTTAATCATAATACTATTTATATTAAATGTTGCCAATGTTTGTCTGAGTCTTCGCGGGGGGTCGAATTTTCGTGACGTCAATTGCGGACAACGCTATTGTCCCATGTCATCTTCATTATTCAGTTCCTTTCAACAAAAGTACAAAATGTGAATCAAGTTTTTTTTGCAGATACATGTACGCGTCGCGTACCTATTTTTCCTTTTATAAAAGCGAAGTTATACTGAATTTAAACATTCGTAATTTTAGCTCCACCTTGGCTTCACTTTTTGGATTCTCACTTCATATATGCACATTACATTGATTACGCCCTGCTCGGGAATAAATGACACTAATTTTGAAAATTCCTTGTTTAGATCCTACATCATGCAAAATGGTGAAGGAGTCGGGACTAAGTAATGGTGATGGTGAATATGACTTGTATCTGTTACTTCCCACCTGTTCACAAAAAGCCCGAGTGTATTGTGCTGATATGAACACAGATAACCCATTAGAATATATCACATTGTCTGCTGGCAGGGATACTAACTATGCACTGAATAATCGTCTACCCAATGGAGAATATCACTCGAAACATGCCAAGACGGCATACGATAAGGTTCGTAATTGACTTGCAACCATTCTCGTCCCCAGAACAATTTTCAATCCGTCACTCGTTGAAATAATTTTCTGGTTTAGACGACTAAAAGGCGAGATTTAATTGGCTTCTCCGAGAACTGCTATTTCGTAGAAGTTTAGCAGTTTTTGCTAGGCAAAGTTATTCTATCAACATACATGTCAACACAAATGCAGTACTTCGTTCCTTCGTCATACTTCACTGTGACAATTGTTACGAATGCTACAGCGTCCCAATTCAAGAGCATGCGCTTTAGAAACTACTGCAAGTTTTCTTGCACTTCCAGTTCCGTGTGTTCCCGGGCCTAGGCAGGACGCGAGAGGCCCTGGGGGTGAGGTGGCATGCAAAGCCTAGTCCCAGGCTTTCCCGCGTCACTAGATTGGTTTTAAACCCAAGCTGAAACCCCGAGTCCGCAATCATCTGCATGTGGAGGTTTGCTGAAGCCCTGGGAAACACCAGCAAAAGTCAGGCTCTGATTGTTTAAAATCTTGTTAAATTCTCCAATTCGGATTGAACTTCGCCTTGTACATGATCAAATTGCACGGACTTGAAATCTAGCCTAGTCCTTAAAGTTGGATTTGAAATATTACATAACCTATTGTAGGCGGTCTGATCGGTCGGAAGAGCAAAAATGGTTCCAAGAACGGTAGATTTGCGAATTGTGCTCGTGTCAGTACCATTTGGGGTACATTTTTGTGTGCATCATTTCATTTAACTTAAAACAGTATTTTGTTTTAGATACGTCTTGAAGTGCCATCACTAAATGTCTTGATAGGGGATTCAAGGTTTTCTGTACAGATAGAAGGAACATACATAGAACGGTACGCTACAGCTAAGGATTGCATGTGGGCTGCCTCTTGTGAAGCTTACAGACAAAACAAGCATGGGAAAACTGAAGCTGATCTCACTGGAACGGATTTTAAATTCCCATCGTCTATTCCTTATAATACTAATTCCTGGCCAACTTGTGCTAGCGGCTGGCTTGCACCAACCATGAGTGTGGATCGAAAGAAATGGTCAGTTCGTTGTGGTGGTTATTGTGGCGGCTGTAAGCCTACGTCCCTTGTTCTTGAGCTTGATGCTTGCTAATATTATTAAACCAGAAGATTGCGTTTGATAGGGATTCAACTACATCAAAAATACAAGTATAAAACTTCAACGTTTTGAGCGAAGGCTCTTCGCCTACTAACTTCTCAACGAATGATCTTTTATTTGCATGTACTTCTTCAGTTAATTGAATCCCTATATCCAGGGGCGTCGGGGTGGCTCGAAAAGTGGGGGCGGGTGCACACTTAGCGCCCGCAGAAGGCGGGTGACATTAAAGGAAGGTCTGGAGGCATGCCCTCCGGAAAAATTTTAAAACTAAAGTCTCTGAAATGCCATTTCCTGCACTTTAGAACAGAAAGGGACGCCGGAAAGGGGGGCGCAGGGGGCATCGCTTCCCTTGCCCTTTAGTAAGGGGGGCAGGGGCCAGGGGAAATGAAATATTAATTAGTGATTACCCTTACGTCAACATTGTGCCCCGTGCCTTACTCTGCCTCCGGCGTCCCTATCTAAAGGTAACAAATGTTATAAAATATCTCAAATTGTTTTTACTACATGCATAACTGAAATAATATCAATTAATTTAGTGGTTTATTGTTGACCATTGTTAAAAAGTGTGGGGGAAGGGAGGGGGCAAAGACATTTAGGCTTCCCAACTAAAAAAGTTAGGAGTGGCCGTCCCTCGCTTCCGACGCCCTTGCCTATATCAATCCGCAGTTTCTGTTGTTTTTGTTACAACCCATAAGCTGGCACAAACCTTTTGAGTATTATTATACTGTATAATTATATTGCACTCATAGGCGTACGGGACGGGGG